TAAAAATTAGTTTTGTAAAAGTAAAAACCTATCTCCCAAATATCTACCCCATGGTAATATAAAATTCTCTGTATATCTATATATGTTTCTAAATATTATAGTTGTAAGTTTTTAAAAAAGCAAACAACTTTGGAACTTATAAAATCATAATCAACATACATTTCTTCTCCTAGAATAGTTTATATACATAGTAGGCTAATATCTTTATTTAAACAAATATCTTGTCAAGGCACTATTTTTACTTTATATACGAAATACCACATAAGCCAGTAGTAAGTGCCAATCCTATGTCAGTCAGGGATAATTCTTTCCTTTGAAAAAGCCATTTTGATTTTCAAGAAGCATTCAGATTTGTGTATGTTGGTATACCTGGGTATAAATTTAGTTGTATTTATTGAGACTCTACTATAAGAAATTGTGTGCATATGGCAAAAAGGAGCTCATTTCCTATGAGTAAGAGCTGGTTAGGACATACTTTTCCTGAAGACCAATGAATGTGGATGCCAGCAGAATGCTATAAACTGTGATAAAAACAAAAAGAAAGTATTGCTTCTAGTATAGAAGTGGTCTGGGATAGTCACTTTAAGGACTTGTGGAATGTTTCAGAGGCAATTTAGAGACCACCAGAAACTGAGTCCTAGAGAAGTGGCTGTCCAAGGCCATGTTGAGAACCTATTAGTCACAAAAACAGGTCAAGAGCTCCTAAGTTCCTGTCATTTGTTCTTTCCACTCACCACAGAGATGTAGCATTTGAACTGAACTTTAGAGGATAAGGGTAGAGAATTCTAATACTAAGATGGGCAAAAGAGAGAAAGTTTAACTCTCACTGTGGAGTGGCTTATGAAATCATAGTAGTTAATGAGAATAACTACTATGAGAATAATTAACAAATAAATTATAGTGTCTGTCCTTATTTTTCCCTATAACATATGGGTATATGGGGAACCAACATGAAGGCTTTTAAAAACCTAGATTAGAGTCAGGTACAGAACATTCTGAATGTCATGCTAAAGATTATGGATTTTGCTCAGTAGAAAATGAGGAGCCATTAGAGTGTCCCTAGTTGTTACATTTCCACATATGGTCATTACTGATTTTTAGACTAATTTTTTTAAAGGTCCATTTACAATCAGATTTTGTATTCCATCCTTCTGGGCAGGCATCAGATAAACATACTTTTAAAATGAATATACAGGGAAAGTTGTTTCTATAAATCTATCCATCTGGTATCTGGTAATTGCAGAGAACCCAGAAATAAGAAACAAAGCATCCTTACCAGAGTAAAATTACTTTCATAGAGCCCATCCAAGGAAAATACTGGAAGATACTTTTTCTCAAGTACCAAACATATTTGACTTAATCTTATCCTTAGAATTTGATTATCTCAGACAACATTCAGAATGGAAAAGGATATTTGCATATTTTGAATCGGACAAAAGATTGAAAACTAAGATCTATAGAGAACTCAAATTACCCAATAACAACAAAAAAAACCAATAATCCCATTTATCACTGGGCAAGAGACATGAATAGAACCTTCTCTAAAGAAGACAGATGAATGGCTAACAAATATATGAAAAAATGCTCATCATTCCTAATCATCAGAGAAATGCAAATCAAAACTATCCTGAGATAATACCTAACCCCAGTGAATATGGCCCACATTACAAAGTCTGAAAGCTGCAGATGCTGGCACAGATGTGGAGAGAAGGGAACACTTACACTGCTGGTAGGGCTGCAACTAATACAATGTTTTTGGAAGGAAGTATGGCAGATCCTCAAAGAACTGTACTTCCCATTTGATCCTGCAGTCCCATTACTAGGCATCTACCTAGAAGAAAAACTTTTTATTATAAAGACATTTGCACTAGACTGTTTATTGCAGCTCAATTTACAATTGGCAAAATGTGAAAATAGCCTAAATGCCCACAAACCTAGGAATGAATCAACAAGCTGTGGAATATGTATACCATGGAATACCATTCAGCCATTAAAAGAGATGGAGACTTTACATCTTTTGTATTAACCTGGATGGAGGTGGAATGCATTCTTCTTAGTAAAGCATCACAAGAATGGAGAAGCAAGAATCCAATGTACTCAATTCTAATATGAAGGTAGTAGATGAGCTAATACAAGGGGGAAGGTGGGGAATGAGCAAGTTAGGGGGAGATGGGAGTCATGGTGTATGGCACACCTCTTGGGGGGGATATAATTATAAGAGGGACTTTATCTAACAACTGCAATTACTATAACCTAATTCTTTGTACCTTCAATGAAAAAAACTTAAAAAGAATTTGTTTATCGCTTTTTTTTCTTACCTGAGTTTTTGGAGTGCATAAAGTTTTTTTCTATATTAAAGGAAAGAACAGGAGGTCTAAACAAAAAATAGCAAACAGCAAGGAGATACTGATGGGGAGAGCCAGTTAGTGGGTAGAGAAGGAGACCCACTAACAGTGATTAAAAGTTTCACATAGAAACATAGATGGCCATAAAAAAGAGAGAATAAAACCAGACCAGGAAAGCATAACAAAACATTTAGTCATTTGTAGTGTCAAAGAGATTATGAAAATAAAGTTTATTTGTATTAAAGCACAATATGGTAATAATTGTATACCTTGTTAGTAACAAGGACCCTGTATCATATATAAGATGCTAAATTATATCTTGACTTTGGAATGAAGAGAAAATATGAGTGATGTCTTTGAAACTATCTTGATTAAAACCTATCCCTGGGGCAGCACCTGTGGCTCAAAGGAGTAGGGCACCAGCACCATATGCCAGAAGTGGTGGGTTCAAACCCAGCCCCAGCCAAAACCTGCAAAAAAAAAAAAAAAAAAAAAAACTCAACCCTTTAAATACCAAATTAAAATTTCTATGATCTAAAAACATCTACTTTTCTCACTCCTTCCTTTTGGGTTCAACTTCCCTATGTTGTAGGTTAGAAAATATCCCACCGGCAGACAATCGGTAAAGTATGATTTTTTTTCCTGTCAAGGACCACAGGTCTGTGCTGTTTTCCAATCCTGAAAATCTGTGAAATATATGAAGCAATTTGTTTCATGGTAGTATTCTGTGGAATGGTCAGTCTGATCTCCATTATTCTGTCAAGACTGAAACTAGAAGTTCATTAAACTGATTTTCATCATGGTAGTTTCTTAATTTTCTTTCTTGAATAGTTTAACATTTCTAGATGTTTGTGGTAATGCATTTCCAGAAATACCACATGATATATAAGATTCTAGATACTAACTTATTTTTATTCTGTTCTGTAAATATTTATAGAAGAAATAGTAAAAAACTTCATGAAGTTTCTATTTTGAGCACATGTTATAAAAGAAGTGAGGATTAGTATACAGATATAATGACAGCATAGATACTTTCTTTTAACTTCAAAGACTTCTCATTTCCCTTTAGAAAACAAAGCAGACAACAGTTAACCAAAAAGATGACATTTAATAGATAATGGGAATTGATGTGGGCTGGATAACAATAATATCAAACATTTCATGACTGACTTCCTGTATGCAATTTGAACGCTACATACATTACCTGATTTAATCCTGTGAACAGTGCTGTAAGGTAATATTTTTATTTTCATCTTAAAAATGAGAAAACTGAGGGTTAAACAGGTTAAGTAAAATATCAATTGCTGGTGAAAGGCAGATTTTGAGTCCAGAACTACTCAGTATTCCTAAGCTCTTAACTGTTGTACTATAATTTAAAAATGACTGCATGATAGAAGTGGGAATCATGTTGAATCTTTATGGACAGGTAAAATTTGTAAGAATGAAACAGCAAAGGGAAATTAAATGACCTCAAGGAAAGATAATATGTAGAATCACCTTGATTAGAACAGAGTTTATTTTAAATGATCTGAGTTGAAGTATAACAAAGTAATTTAGTGTGAAAACAATGCTTAAGAAAAGTTCTCCTGGGCGGTGCCTGTGGCTCAGAGGGGTATGGTGCTGGCCCCATATGCTGGAGGTGGCAGGTTCAAACCCAGCCCTGGCCAAAAATTGCAAAAAAAAAAAAAAGCAAGAAAGAAAAGAAAAGAAAGGTTCTCCTAGCAGCATCAAAAAAAAAAAAAAAAGAAAGAAAGAAAGAAAGAAAAAGAGGATAAATATGATGGAAAGAGGGATTGAAAATCAGGGAGACTCTTTAGGACCGTGGTCTCCAGCCCCCAAGCCATTGACCAGTACTGGACTATGGTCTATTAGGAACTGGGCCTCACAGTATCACCAACTGAGCTCTCCCTCCTATCTTATCCTGCGCCACCACCACCATCTGGAAAAATCGTCTTTCATGAAATCAGTCCCTGGTGCTGAAAACGTTTTCATGAAATCAGTCCCTGCTGCTTTAGGAGATTTACTTACAGTAGTTTCACAATGACAGAATAAAAACTGGACTCAGGGTAAAGACATTGGAATTGGTAGAGAAAAGTAATGTTAAAGATAGATGGAGTGGAAAAGTTGATCATAAGTTGATTGCAAACTAAGAATTAGCAAGAAGGGGCAAGTCAAAGATCTCAGCACAATTATTATTTTTTTTTTTAAAGAGAGCGAAGAATCACTCTTGATTCTTCTCTTGTATTTGGCTGGGGCAGAGATCAGAGGAACAGCTTGAGGCCTGAAATGTGGTTAGAAGGGCTTATATTGGGAAAAATCACACACACAGATTCTTAGAGGGGTGTTAATCCCACTAGTTCAATGTGGAGTCGACTGACAAAGACAGAGAAGGACAAGAGAGGGAAAGATGATAAGACCTCATTGACTTTAAGCAGCCTGTGTAGCTGCCCAAGGGAGGAGTCTATAGTCATTTAATGGTTCAAACTTAGAGCTTTGATGTAAGGACAAAAATGGAGAAATTTGAAATATTGATAACTTTCATATATTCCTTTTGTCTTTCTATCCCAGTCTCCTCTTATTTAGACTATGACATTTGCTATTAGATAACTATGCATTTATTAAAGATAATACCACAAATCTGTTTCTACTTTACAGAAAGAAATTCTAGAACAGCAGCAGCAAGAACGAAATGATACCAATTTTCATGGCATTTGTATGTTTTGCAATGGAGAATTCCTTGGAAACAGGTTTGCCATTATGCACTTTTAAATGTGACCGGTTTTAATCTGAAAAATCATCAAAACATCTATAACTATTGGTTATATAAATTAAGTTTAGTGGGTTGGGTTGGCTCAGGACCCTTTCAGATCTCAGTAGTACTTCTTTTTAAAATGCCTGACATCAAAGATGGATTGTGATTGCTCTAAACAGAACAAGGCAATAGATTCTTAAGATGCCAAAAGTAGATTTATGTTTAATATTTCAGGGCTTTTAAAACTACAAAGTAATTTAGTGTGAAAACAATGCTTAAGAAAAGTTCTCCTGGGCGGTGAACTACAGCAGATAGACCTCTCTATACTAACTTGTTTACCCCAAATCGGGCAGGTTTTGGTTTTTCACTTCAATATATTAGAAATGGTAAAGACCTATAAAAGAAGTTGGAGGCTAGTAATTTTTTCGCCAACTCAAATTGGTCCAAAGTCAACTGGTGCACTCCAATTTGATTCTGGCACTGATTACCTGGAGTTAGCATCAGTCTGTACACATTTCAGGGAACTAGCCCACAGCAAGACTCCAGCCTTCAGTTCAAGCAGTCCCCAAGCTACCCAAACTTTTAACCAACTGGCTACTGATATTTTCAGGGATTTAAGAATTTGCTAGAAAGACTAACAGAACTTGGGAAAACACTGTACTTAACAATTATAATTTTCTGGCTCAGTGCCTGTAACTCAGTGGCTAGGGTGCCAGCCATGTACACCAGAGCTGGCCGGCTTGGAATCCAACCCAGGCCTGCCAACAATAATGACAACTACAACCAAAAACTAGCTGGGTGTTGTGGCAGGCACCTGTAGTCCCAGCTACTTGGGAGGCTGAGGCAAGAGAATCACTTAAGCCCAAGAGTTGGAGGTTGCTGTGAGCTGTGACTCCATGGCGCTCTCCCGAGGGTGACAACTTGAGACTCTTGTCTCAAAAAAAAAAAAAAAAACTTACAATTTTCTTATAAAAGATATAAATCAGGAACAGACAAATGAAGAGACAGACAGTGGCAAGCTGGCTGGGACTGAAGGTCTGTCTGAGTAAACCTCTTGGATCACAGAAGCTCCTTGCCCAAACAGACTGGGGAAACTTCCTAAGTCATTCAGCCCTGAGCCAACCACTGGCTTAACTCCCATCTCCTAACTTACAGACCCTAGATGCCAGGTTTCTAACCTCCAGAGAGGTTGAGAGCAGGTTCCCATTAGTACATTCAGTGTGGCTCTTAATGGCAAGAGCTTTTGATCCCACATTATCCTCAGTTTGAAGGAAACCTCTCAACCTCCCTTACCCCTTGTGCCAGCTGTTATTTCAGACAATATCCAGGTACAATCTGAGTCTGGATCTTCATCTTGGAAGTGTTAGGCAGAGGTTGCTATAGCTTGGCTGCTTTAGAGAGAAGATGTCTGGATCTAGAGGCACAGTACCCTACCCAGCATGACCTTGGGGGTGGGGGAAGCTTTCTAACCTCTGCCTCACACCCCCTTGCAACCTATGTTCTTCACTTCCTATAAGAGACTCCAAGTTCCTTTATTCACCTGAACTCTTCCCCAGCCTGAATCTCAGGTCTGGAACCCTTGGGAAGGTCCAAGTCTGTCTGGGCTGCCTATGAGAAAAGCCTTGAAGGCCCAAAAGGCACTCTGAACTACCCCCAAAAGTAGCATTAGCAAATTATCAGTAATAGTTAAGCAGTTAGGCAAATGGGCATATTAACCACAGGATTAATAAATGTACCTGCCACATAGTAAGGGAAAAAAGTCAACAAATATTTTTATAAAGAAGGGTTGCTTTATTTCAGTTTATCAAGGAAAAGAAAAAAGACTAAAACAAATTAGGAGAGCAAGTATCTAAATAAAATAAACTCTATACTGTGTCACCATACCCAGTCCACCAATGGTATTTTGATGATGAGTTTGTAAAGACTGTCACCTTTATTTTATGAGCTAAAGTGATAATAAAAGCTCAGTACATTACTTGTTTTCTATGTAAAAGTTACATAAAATTTTCATTTTCTGCATAAACTAATCCACAGGTTGGTCATTGGGTTTCCAGGTTGTCATAACCTTTTGCATGTAATTAGACCTGTTCACTGTGGGTTAACTGTCCAGTGATAAATTGGCTAAACGTCTATGATCCTAGATCATAGCCACTCAGATTTCTGTTAGACAGTTGCCTCTTACTCTTCCCCATGATGAACTGGAATAGTCAAAGCAGCACGGTTTAGTTATTTGAGGGATAGAACCTGATTCTCCTAGAGAGGGAAACCCTGTCCAGTGGCAGACGGGGCAGCACACAGTGGCCTCCTTCACAGGTCTGCAGTGACTATGTGTGACTGTGTGCCATATGCCATGGCAGAGCTCACACGTGTGTGCCGTGTTTAACACTTGCTTATACCTCCACTTAGTATCTATATTATGCAAGTGCTATTCCTAACAATACAAATTGCTTAGTACCTTTATTATACAGATGCTATTTCTAAATAATACTAATTGCTCCAATTTCTTCTTAGATCTGTTCTTTTGAACCACATGGCCAGAGAACATGCTTTCAACATTGGATTGCCAGACAACATTGTAAATTGCAATGAATTTCTGTGTATATTACAGAAAAAGCTTGACAGGTAGGTACTGTTTGGTGAAACACTGCTTAACGCTGTTTTAGTCTAAGACTCCATTATGATTTGTCTTTAATTAATAGTCAGAAGTAATTAAAGAAATAGAAATTTCTCTTGTTGGAGGAGTTTACATTTTATATGCCATCCTTATTTCATCCAGATCATACTGGCATGAATATTTTTTAAATTTAAAAAGTAGTATGTCTATATAAACTAGACAATATACATACAATGTAAGATATGTCATATGGGAAGTGAACAATATACTCCCCATCCAGCCTCAGAAATAGAACATTTTAAAATTCCTTTGAATTTCCCTATTTGTCTTTCTCCATTAGTATTTCTTAATTCCTTTACTTTTCACTTTAATTTGTCTACATACTATATGTATTCTTCTGCCTTTTAGTGTTCATTCACATTGTATGTAATTCTCCATTTTCCCAGGCCTAGAAACCTTGGTTATCTACAACTTAGCCTATTGAAACAAAAAAGAAAATTTTCTAGATCACCAAAATGGTTTTCAAAAGTGTATTCACTTTTCTTTCTAGGAAAGGGCCCAAGACTTTTCTCTCAGAACCCAGTTTTCTTTATTTAAATAAAATGTTAATAAGTATGATCTCTTAATCCACAACATTTTGAGCAATACCATTTTTTAAAAGTATCCAATTATGTAGATCAATTATAAAAGTTCTTAATTCAAATTCTGATATCAACACTCTGGTAAAATGAGTCCTTTACCCCTTTGTGAAATGACACTTTGTTTATAAAACAAGACCAGATATGCTTTCTTGCAAGATTAGCAATAATGAATATCTGTAAGCAGCCTCCTACCCATAATTTTTTACTACAAAAGAACATACTATAATGCCAAGGAGTATATTCAATGAAAGAATATATAAGAAATAGATGAAATTTAGTAGAGATAAAAAAGAATTCAATAATAGATTGTACTTACTCTATATGGCTTTAAAAAAGTAGAATTCTATGTTCTACTAGGTAGAATTATCTATTGTCAAGCTTAGTATAAAAAAGATATAATAATCTGCAAAACCGATAACAACAGCTTCATTAGGTAATGAACTCACAGTCAGTAGAAATATTTGAGTAGAAAATATGTAAGAATCAAATTATCATAAAAATTCTCTAAAATGTAGGTATTATCTTCAGTTTAGAAATCAGAAAATGTCAGCAGAGAGGGCAAATAATTTTACCAAGTCCCACAGCTCATCAGCACTGAGGGGCAGAATCAGACTTCTGCAGGTCAGCTCACAGCTCATACCAAAATGTATATGTGTACTAATTGTAATATACAATAGGGGCAATCAATGCTAGTCACCATTGTGGTTATTTGAAGGAACATACCTAAATCTTCCTTTTAGAATAGGCAATTTGATTAGTAAACCACCAAAATAACTTTTGGACATTAGCTGTCTTTATCACAGTTCTAACAAAATAGCCAAGTCGGACAACTTAACTAACTACAAAATAAACCACATCAGGCATTCTACAAAGTTAAATGAATAAAGTGGTGGTGGGAGGGTTCTGACAAACGTGGTGTAGTCCATTCGAAGATTCTGTGTACCTGAAATAAATAAATGCAAAAGTTAATAGTAATAAAGGAATATTGCAGCAACTATCCGAGAAACTTGTTTAATTTATCAGTGTTTTGTGTATTTCCCTTAGTTTGCAGTGTTTGTACTGTGAGAAGACCTTTAGGGACAAAAATACACTTAAAGATCACATGAGGAAAAAACAGCATCGTAGGATCAATCCTAAGAACAGAGAGTATGACCGATTTTATGTCATCAATTACTTGGTAAGGCTTTCTTTTCATAATTTAAAATGTGATTGCAGTACTGCAAACAAAATCTTTCTAAGGGCCAACTAATATTTGAATGAGTAATTAGTGCAAAGGTTGAGTGGTGATTAGCTTTAAAATAGTTTGTTTGCAAAGCATTTGATTTGACTTGTCTTTTACTTGGCAGGTGTTTATAGTGAAAATGTCATGACTCTAGAACTCAGTGATCTTGACAAAAGAAAAGATGCAGCATTTGCATATCCACGTACCTCCCCCATTCATATATTATCTATTAACATGAGGCTGGAGACTAATATATTCTAGTCAAAATATATTAGTCTAGTCAAAAAATTATTGATCACGGGATAGATGCTATTTAAGATAATTATTTTAAAACAATTACTTCACTCTTCCCTTTTCTTCCCAGTAAAAAATCCTTCCCTCCCCCACAAAATGTATATCCTTATCATTCTCGTGGGCCAGCTTATTATTAAGAGGAGTTTCAGGGAAACCAAGCTATGTAATATGCAAGGGAACTTTTATTTGTTTGGCTAATAGAGTCGACTAACTGGCTTACCATGCCAAGGATTTTAAGTGCGTTGAAAGCTCTTGTCCAGGCTGGGCGCCTACAGCTCAACCGGCTAAGGCGCCAGCCACGTACACCTAAGGTGGCGGGTTAGAATCCCCAGCCCGGACCCGCCAAACAACAATGACGCCGGGCGTTGTGGCAGGCGCGTATGGTCCCAGCTATTTGGGAGGCGGAGGCAGGTGACTCTCTTGAGCCCAGGAGTTGGAGGTTGCTGTGAGCTGTAATGCCACGGCACTCTGCCCAGGGGGACAGCTTGAGGCTCTGTCTCAAAAAAAAAAAAAAAGAAAGCTCTTGTCCAGAAACCCCCATACCATGTGCTGGCCTTGGTGGATTACAGGCCCTTTTGGGTTAGAAGAAGCATTAGGATAGAGACAGATGGCCAAAGGAGGGCAGAAGGGAGGGAGAAGAGAGGGAGAAGGAGAGAAGGTGGTATGAGGGAGGGCTCAGAAACATGAGAGGAGAGTTTTGATTGACTCAATGACTGGGGAGTGCTGCTGGCCCTGCCCCCAAAACACTCATTTTTTAATTATATGTAACAAAGGAGGGAAACTACTCATGTAAAAGAAGGAGTTAAGTAACTCTACAGAGGGCTTGGAAGAAAGAGAGTTCAGGTTCTCACTGGCAGTTTCCATAACCAATTAGAAATTTTTTTTTCCTCTCAATATGCATGAATTAAAATCCAAACCCATTGGCTGCAGAAAGCTAATTGAATATAATCAGCCATTTTATCTGTTGGATAGAAACAAGCATATCCTGAATTATGTGGAAATTTCTGCTCTAGGGTAAAATTTTTGTCTATTCTAACTGATCCATATAATGTTAAACTAAAATTACCCCTTGAGAAGCAAGTTTAGCATGCTTTTGAAGATTGACTTCCAGGTTGCCATGGTTTGCTACAAATGTTTTACAACAGCTAAAGGCAAACGCACTTTGAGTCCCTCAATCTTCTGATAAAATCACTCAGTCATTACTTCCTAGAACAAATGCTGCTTCAGGGACCAGCCCAATCCAATAGGGAGCTGACGTCAGTGTTAGCTCTGAGAGATATTCAGCTACTGCAGCAAGCTATGGGAGCAATTTGATAATTCTTCCTTCTGGAGCTCTTTTAAACTAATAGTAAGAGCTTGGATCTAGCAGACATTACATAGCTAGAGGTGTTAACCTTTTAGAGGAGACTTCAAAGGGTCTGCTCACTCTTATTCTGCAGGCACTTTTAGAAAAATATGATACTTCGTTCCCTGGACTTCAAGAGTGTAACTGTCAAAACTGAATGTATCTGCTAGGGCCAGCTATCTCTAGATGCATGCCAGCTTATACTGCCCATGCTGTTCCCACATTTCATGTAGCATGAATCATGGCATGAGAGAAGAGCTTCAGGAGAATGTAAAGTCTCCAGCAACATAGAAAATAGAAACTAAATTACAATTTTAGGGTAATATTGATAGAAGTCAATTTTTTTTTAACTAGTATTTATTTGAGTACTTACTATGGACCAGGCACTATCCTAGGTATTTATATTAAATCATTTACTCTTAATCACCTAGCACACAATTATTACCATTAGGCCTATCGTAAAGATTAAACTATTAGGGCACAGTAATTTTCCCAAGGTCACATAGGTAGGGTAAGTTATTTATCCTCTATACCAGTTTTCTTTATTTGTATAATTGAAATAATACTGGAACCTACATCTTATGCTTTGGGTTGGGTTCTTGGTCAAGTAATGGTAGTGAATTTACAATGGTCTAGTCATCCTCCTTTGCCTATTCTCATTTGTAACAACCTAGAAAGTGAGCCAGGGTCAAACTAAAGCTGACTTTAATCAGCCCGTTAAGGCCCGGCCCTACAACCTCAGCCCTCCTAGTGCTGTGTGCTTTTCCATCAAGTTAAACGGCCAGCAAAAGTAAGAATGATTACCCAAGAAAAGAAAATTTAAAGTGTGTTTGGTGCCTTAACATGATAGAAATTATGTAAACGCCCTTGAAAAGAACTGAAGAAGGCAATAAAGTCTCTGAAGATGTACAGGTGCCCTCCCTGGAGGGGTGCTTACCTGAGGGAGCAACCTTAATAGCATCTAGGAACATTTCAAGGAATAAAAGTACAACAACACATAGAATGAGTATATAAAAGACTATTCTAAATATTGACTGTATATAGTTAGAGAAAAATGAGAGCCAATATTTTCTCTGTATCCTTTTAGGTTTATTTCAGACCTCATTAATGAATAATATTTACTATGAAGAACACGGAGAATAAATCATCACTATGAAGAATAAATTCCCCTAAACTTTTACTTAAGCAATAAATAATGGCAGTGCTTTATTATTAAAAAAAAAAGAAAGAGAGACATGTGCTGCGTATTCCTCTGAGGGAAAAGGCCGATGTGAGTGTAAGGGTGTGGGCAAAAGATAGAAGAATTGCTGAACATTGTAGACAGCAGACTGATTTAGGTCACTACTCTCAGAGAACTCAGAAGTCGGGATAGGGGACGGACATGTCAGCACATTCATTTGAACACCTTGGAATGGTGTGTGGAAAGTCTGACCTTTCCTATAGCAGGTATGTGCCGTGATGGAGCCATCCCCTCAGAATCCCTCACCTCCACTTCCAACATCTGTACAGTCTCCAGTGCGGCAGAGGTGGGAGCATCAGTATATCGGCGGCAGGGTGCCTTCTAACAGTCAGCAAAGGGGGCAGAGCCCAGGGACAAAAAGGCTGTTTTTGCCCCTTCTCTGAGCTCAGCAAATTGCAAGTTCTTTTTTTCTTCTTTGGTGAGATAATTTTCATGTTTAATAATTCATATCAGTTTCTGAATAATAACAGACTTGCAAATACATCAAAGATCTTTGCCGCAGTCTGGATTATCTACTTCAAGTTCTTGCTTCCCCCCTCCCACCCCCAAACAAAACATTTCAGCAAATAGAAGGAAAGGTTAGGGGACAAGGTAGTTTCACCCTCAGGTGGCCCTGCCTCAGAGTGCAACAGACCGCTTAACATCACCGAAGCCTCAGCCATGCGTTCTTTGGGTGTTCATAATTCAAACCTTCAAACCAAGAGTTTTCCTAAAGGGAACTATTTTTGCCACACTTTTATCTTTCTTTGATTTCATTTGTTTTATTTTTAAAGTATACAAAGCTACTTCTAACAAAAGTAAGCTTTTAATCATTTTTTCATAGTTTTATTATAGTTATTTCTAAGGTAATTATTTACGTTTGAAGCACTTCTGTTTTTCTGCTTCCGACGGGGTTTTTGCGTAAGCACGTGTAAGTGTGTATGTGTTGGGTGGAGCGGTGCCAGGCAAGGGGGATTTTTTTTCATGTTTTTTTCCACCCTCTCATTGCTCATCAGCCATCTGATGCAGAGGTTTGAGGGGGTGTTCTGAACATCTTTACTGACATGCCTTCCAAACTTTGTTTTTCTTGTATTCTTTGCTTTCCTGACGTGATTCATTAGCAGACGCAGTCTCTTAATTAGAGAGTTATGTGCTTTGCTTTCCAGGGCTTTTTTCCCTCTTGGGTCTTGTTCCTGTAATAAATCATATATTTAACTTTACCAAAGCAGAAGTCCAGGCCACTGTCACATGAAAATTGCTTATTTCCTAATATACTAATAAACATAGATATGCATTTTTCTCTGAAGTATGGTAAATGGCTAGTGCTATATTGCCTAGACAGAGTTCCTACATTAGCACTGAATACTGAGGAAGTTACAAAATAATGGTTTAAATTTGGTTAAAGTTTGGAATTGTGACAGTGAAAGATATTTTTGTTACTTTCTCTCAAGCATGTATTAATAAGCAACATTTGCCATATCGTGTAGAATGATAATATCTCAGAAGACCCCTTCTTCAATATCTTGCAGCAACAAAAGCAGGACCTTAAGTGCAAGTCCAGAGAAACCAAGAAAGGCATGAAAGATTTAATTCATTGCCAAAAATTCTAACCGCAATCCTGTTGGCAATGCTGAGGCCATTTTGGTGTCCTATAATGAGGTTTAGACACTTCATGACAACTCTGAGGAGTACATTATAGAGTCCAAATTAACTGTCTCTAATGACATTATGGTAGATCTCTGTATGTCTGAGTTTATGCATCATTTACCTGATAAATAATGACAGCTTCAAAACCTCTCATTAAGTTGATGAATGATAGATTTTCTTTCTCCCCCTAAATTATAATGGCATTCATAGTTCTTTGTTTTTAGCTAAGTGAATACCTTTGAGGGAGAAAATATCCATAATTGAGTGATTTGAGGTTCTGTTTATCTAAAGAAGGATATAGAACAACAAAGATATCTGTGCTTATAGCAGGTCAGATGGGCTTGAATTTAACCATAGTTGCAGCTGCTTAAAAGAGTTTCCATGAATGTTCCTGCACCCTTCTTTGGCACACTGTCTGCGTTTGCATGACATAAGACTGAGTAGAGAGAGAAGACAATAGAAAAGAAATGGCTCAAAGCAGGAAAGAGAAATGCTTAGAGCAAAAAAAATCATTCCTACTCATCACTCCATAAAGTTTCGCTAATACAATGACAAGGCTTGCCAGGCATAGGCTCAAAAGGGGGGAACTTTTCCACTAACTGTAAGGAATAAAAGGGATTTGAGTAGTTACTGGAGTACCCATTCAAACCCAGTGCTATGTGCTTTATGGACATTAACTAAGTCACTTTCTCACCTTACAAAAACCTTTTGAGGTAGAATCTAAATTGGCCGTAAGTTTATAGGTTTTTTCAGTAATTCAACTCAAAAAATACTGTCTAGTACCCACTGTCTACCAGGCTCTGGAATTGTAGCAGTGAACCAAGGTCATGTCCTCATGGGCATTCTAATAGGGAAGAGGATCTGGATAATAAATATGAAAACATATACAAAACGATTTCAGGTGGTGATCATGCTTTGAAGAAAACGTGATAGAAGAATAAAAAGCAACTTGGATTAGTGGTGGCATTTTAGATGGGCATTTAGATGGACAAAGGCAAAAGTGGTGACCTTTAAGCAGAGACCAGAATGACTGAGCCATGCAGATAAGTAAGACAGCAGGGTTTCAGGCTGAGAGGACAAGTGTTAATGGATCCAGGTAGAAGCAAATGTGCTGTGTTCAAAGTACAATGAAAAGACTAGTCTTGCTGGAGCACAATGAGGAAGAGAAAAAGTGATAGAAAAATAAGATTGGAGAGAGAGCCAGGGGGAGGCACAGAGGTCTTACAAACCATGGATCTAAGTGTGATATCAAGCCGTGTTTACATAAGCAGCAAAGTGTCATTTAGAAAAATCATTGAGGTCAGGGAAGTAGACTATTACAGGGGACTATGAGAAGAAACAGAGCCCATCTAGGAGGCCGTTTCAGGGACTCCATCAAGAGATCTTGTTTTTTTAATTAAAAAAAAAAAAAAGGAAGAAGAAATTTTAAAATGTATCCAGGGTCGAGAAACATAGATTTAAAGAGAAAATAACTTTATCAAAAAGATATCAATGCTTCTCCAAAAAGAAAAGCACATTAAAAGCATTTTAGGATCTATCCTTCCTTGTAACTGAAATAACATTTTTAATACCAGATGCTTCTCAACTTATGATAGGACTGTATCCCAATAAACCCATCCTAAATTGAAAATATCATGAGGTTTCAACATAAGACATTTCCAACTTAGGATGGGTTTACCAGGAGACAACCCTAACTTAAGTCAAAGAACATACTGAACCTGTATCACTTTTATACCATCCTAAAGTAAAAAAATCTGTTAAGTCAAACCTTCGTAAGTTAGGGGCTGTCTGTAAATCCTACTTGCATTGTTTCAAAGCCACTTGAGTATGGGGACTTTTTTGTTTGTTTGTTTGTTTGTTTGTTTGTTTAGTTCTATATCTATTTGCTCTTTGTTGTCTCTCCTCACCTCCATCTCTCTAATCCTTCTGTTCTTCCTACAAAGGAACTCGGAAAATCATGGGAAGAAGTTCAGCTGGAAGATGATCGGGAGTTGCTAGACCATCAGGAAGAGTAAGGCTTGTTATTCCTGCTAACTAATTATAGTGTTTCAAGGCTAGGAAGACAATTATTTAGTTTGCTTTAAAATTCTCATCATGAAGAGGTAGCATAAAAAGAAAGAAAACCTGTCTGAGCCGTGTATCCTTTCATGTAATACGACAAGAAATCGAATTCAAAATAGCTGACATAAAAATTACTAAAGATACTGTTATTCTGGCTAAATGAAAACTGCTAACTGAACACATAAATAATGACATATAATTCACAGAAAAATGCATATCCAAAGTGCTTTGCATACTCCGCCTGTGCCCAGACCCTAAAGTGATGCTCTCTTTGAACTCTCCAGGCTCTAGCCATTGGAATAGAGAATCTAACAGAATTGAAGTTAATCCTGGGCTGTGCTCATCCCATTGATGAGTAACTTAAAACAGTCACAGCTCCTTTGCTTGAAATTATAAGCTTGAAAAGTGTTCTTTTCAACCTAAAAGGATTCTCTACTTTTGATCCTCTTTTCAGTCAAAGCTGAAATGGCTGTTCAGCCATTTTTTCTTTCAGGATTTAGATTTTAATATTTTATTATTTTAATAGTGAAGTAGAGCCCAAAGTTGGAGTGTTGCCATTTGCTGAATATCCCTGGTACATAGAGATCAGGCAGGGAGTCTTTCACACTAAAATATAAACATGTGGGATGGCGCCCATTGCTCAGTGTGTAGGACCCTGGCCACATACACCAAGGCTGGTGGGTTCAAACCTGGCCCAGGCCTGCTAAAATATAAACATTTCTTCCCCACTAGGACACACTAGTGATAATATTTAATAGGTGCCTGTTGAAGTTTTAATGACACAAGGGGTTACACAGAGTAGTAGTTGTGACCGGAAACGGATGGCCTGGTGGCTCCCTTCTGGATAGATAGAGCTGGGGGAAGTTTTTCCTGTTTTCTAATGGGGATGCTTCCATGTGAATTGGGTTAAGTTGATGTTTAAAATCACATCAGTGGTAATTTCTCAACTTGCCACGAGAAATCCTCCCCTCTCTTGAGTGTGGATGGGTGGTTCCTCTCCACCAGTCTTCCCAACTGGCAGTTTTCCTGTTGGGAATGGAAGGAAGTTGACAGTGTTTTTAAAACCTGAGTGCAAGGAAGGGGGACAGTGGTGAAAGGGATCCTGTATGCTTTTGAGTTCTCTGTCTACCACTAGATTTAACACTTGCCCCATTTAAAATGCTCAGTATTTCCCTGGAGAAAGCTGTGTGGTTTGCCTTTTTAAAGTATACTGTTTGTCATGCAGAAACACATCCCCAGCACCACACCTCACGCCATGTGCACTTGGTGGTCAGGCTAATGAGAGAGAGCATCGCATCTTGGAGCATGTCTTGTTTGCAAATTAAACCTTGTTGTCTCAGGAGGACTTTACCGTGATTCTGTAGTGAAATAGCTGCTCAGAAGAGTGGTGAATATGAGAAAATAGAGCAGCCCCTGTTCGCTATTTATATTAATTTCATGGTGCTGCTTTGAATTTCAAAAGTTGCAATATGATCTGATGGTCTTTACCAAAATGTTAGAGTTGAAAGAGATGGGCAAGGTTTCCCAGGAAAGTTAAAATTATACCAAGTCACTACGTAGTATACCCTTTTAATGAAGGAAATCTCCATATTTTCTGCTTTTTGGTTTTTTAAATCCAGGGACTGGTCTGATTGGGAAGAACACCCTGCCTCTGCTGTCTGCTTATTTTGTGAAAAGCAAGCAGAAGCAATCGAGAAATTGTATGTCCACATGGAGGTAAGATACTTTTATTCATTTGAAGTTTGTTTTTGTTTTGACAGGAGGAGGCTGGTAATTATTGCACCGTCATCTGCTTGTACTTGAGTTTGTCCATTATCATCCCGTTCCTAGAAGTGCTTTAGGCAAAGCAGAAGAGATAGGTGGGGTCCATTGAGGAGCCCAGAGCTCAGAGCAAGTTAGCTAAAGTGGCTGAGTGAGCTGGCAGTGTGGGCCTTCACAGACCACTGATGCCGTCCCACCTTTGAGGTGCTCATAAGACAGTTGCAGCTCACAAGGTGGCCCCTGCAACAGGACTAACAGGACCCAGGATAGGGGCAGGTCCTGAGTCCTTTTCCAGTGCTTCCTGTGCTGGTGAGTAGGACAGCAAGATGGGAGGCTGTTGTCATTTACGTAACCCCTGGAGGACTTGGCGAGATGGGCTGGGTACAGAGGGTCCAGGGTGTGGTCTTACAGCTGCTCCAGAAACGAGGATTTGGGGGAAAGAAATCTGGCCACTTTCCAGTCTGTGCATTCCCTTCTTGATGCCATTTTATGTTATAATGCAGTTTCAAACTAGTAGTTCTAAACCTTTTTTTCACCACAGCATACCTGAGAAATGGCCCATTCCCTATACCTCTGATCCTTAAGTGGATCCTGGTGGGCAGATGGGAACTATCTAATGATTCATGACCATATTACAGTTTGGGGATAGAAGGGTGATTATAATAGAAAAATATTACTGGATGATTCTGACATTCTGTCCCTCCCCTTTCTCCTGCCACTTCTGTCAATAGTGGACCTTTCGCTCCTCTTTTACCCACTTTCACTCCACCCTCCTACAGTTCAGTAAAATAAGGACCTAGGAAGTGTTAGAAAGTCCATGAGCATTTATCCTTATGTAAGCAGAGAATTAAGTGTTTCTAAAAACAAGTTACCATTATTTTGTGTGGGTGATTTCCTGTGTTTAAATTTAACTCATAATATGCTGATGACTTGTATGAAAGGGAGCCCCAGTACCCCGTCCTGTGTGAGGATTCCCTTTCACACCCTTGACAGGTGTCCTTAACCGTTTTTTTAGTCACTTTCAGTGATAATATACCGTGAATTCCTGGTCATCCCACATAGTGGGACTCACATATTGCACTAAATGCCATCACAGTGAGTTAGATGATCTTTATCCTTCATGAGCATGTAAATTAAAACATTTACACAGATAAGCAACTGCAGGAATGGAACAAACATAATCAAATAAGTTTCTGCATTGTGAAAATCAAAAGGAATTGATGTGTGGCGAGATGTAAGTGAAGAGAAACATTCAGGTTTAAATGGTGTATTTGACAGCATAAAATGAAAAGCAGTATTTGTCAAATTATTTATCTGCTTATGGATCAAAGAATCAGTATTCATAATTCTAGTCCAGATGCACAGTACAGTTCAGCCTCATCTTACCTAGACCTCTGTCAGATGGCAGAATGTATAATGTATAAACTATAAAACTATTATGCTTTAACTGATTGGCATGACTTGCTTGAACTGTACTTTAAAAAGTTGAATATGGAGGCAAGCAGTTAGACTCAGAAGACTTCACAAGCAGACGACGATGAACCCAGGGTTTCTGAGTTCTCATAGTCTGTGAGCATGCTATCTTTGTAACTTCAGCCTGAAAAGATTAAATCCTTCATATGCTTACATATGTATTCATTCCTTTTTTAGGATGCACACGAATTTGATCTTCTCAAAATAAAATCAGAACTTGGTAAGTTTGACTCGGAAGTTGTTTACCATGATGCTGCATTTTTTTACAAGCCATCCTGTAAACGACGCCCGTGTTCTGTAGCCGTGATTGGAGAGCGCATATCCAAATGTGTTGGTACAGATGGTCTTAACAGAACTCTCTGCAGCAGTGATTCTCAACCATTTTGAACTGTAATAGCCAAATATCATTTTTTGTTTCGTATAGGCCTTCTTCCTCTTTCTGTGTATATGAGTCCTTCAAATAAAATATAAGTTAATGATTAATATTTATCATTAAGTGGAGGGGACTAGCAGAAAAGGCGTGGATTTTGAAGTAGTACTGGAGTTTATATTCCAGCTCCAGCACTTACTAGCTATGTGATATTGGCCCTCAGGTCAGGAAAATGTTAGGAGTGAATAATGTATGCAAAGCACTGCCTGGCAGTGTAGCTGGGATTTGTATTGTCTACCCAGTTATATCATTCTCAGTATCACAACAGAAGGATGTGTGGCATTAAAACATAAAGTACTGGCTTCCTAATAGATCTAAGACAGTAAGAAGCTCACTTTTCTCATCTCAGTTCAGCCACTACTTTCCTTCTCTTTTAAATGTGTTACTTTGCTTTTCTGCTCTTACAGACACGTAAATGTATATATGTATATATAAATAACTTAGTAGTCAAGAACATTGGTGGCACAACCAGCAGTCTGATGTCAAATCCTGGCTACTAGCTATGCACCTTTGGACAGTTTCCTACTATTTAATATAAGTATGATAATGCTACCTGATAAGGTTGTGAGATGAAATATATTAATACATGGAAAATGATTAGAATAGTGCCCTACACGTAAATCCTATACTGTCTTTTTCAGGATTAAATTTCTATCAACAAGTGAAACTGGTCAATTTCATTCGGAGGCAGGTCCACCAGTGTAGATGTTATGGCTGCCACATGAAGTTCAAATCCAAAGCAGACTTAAGGACTCACATGCAAGAAACTAAACATACTTCACTGCTTCCTGAGAGAAAGACGTGGGATCAACTTGAGTAAGTACTGCCAGACCAGAGCTATACCTCTTCACTCCTTCTCCCTTATTTTGTCCATTTAATTTCTTTATACTTAAAGAATACACATTTATTATAAAACATAAACATCCTCAAAAACTTTATTTTTAAAATGATCCCTCTCACAAATGAAATTCAGTTATTCACAATGTGTGGTGTGGAAATAACTATGTAGATAAATATAGAAATAGACATAGATTTTTAAGTTATATTTGGTTAATAAATATTATAAATATCTTTCCATATCCCACACATATCTGTTGTTTAATTTTTAATGATTTCCAAATATCTCACTGTGTGGATATAACCTAATTTGTTATATATTTAGGTTATTTCTTTTTGCTATTATAAATAGTGATACAATGAACATCCATATCTCTGGGGCAGCTCCTGTGGTTCAGTGGGTAGGGTACCAGCCCCATATACCAAGGGTGGCAAATTCAAACCCAGCCCCGGCTAAAGTGCAACAAAAAATAGCCAGGCATTATGGCAGGCACCTGTAGTCCCAGCTACTTGGAAGGCTAAGGCAAGAGAATCACCTAAGCCCAGAAGTTGGAGGTAACTGTGAGCTGTGATGCTACAGCACTCTACCAAGGGTGATAGGGTGAGACTCTGTCTCTAAAAAAAACAAAATCTCTGCATAGTTATTGAATTATTTCATTTAGATAAATGCCTAGAAATAGAATCATGTGGGTACACATGCTACTAGGGCTTTTGGTATATGGGCACTTTGAAAATGTTAAGCATTTGGGCATCTAGTATATAACTACTGAGGTGCTGCCAGGCCTTCAAGTATTCTTTGTCAATCTAGCCTTTCTGGATAACCTCAGTTGAGGAAACTTCCAAGTGGTTGTGGGATCCCAGATGCCCAGAAGTTCCTCTATTCCTAGAACACCTTAATTATAATACCCCAGAACCCTAACCCAAAAGCCCTAGTTTCTCCCCTTCTGAAATCTCAAGTTTTTGAGAGCCAAAGTCAACCATGGACGGAACTGGTACCCTGTTCCTGTAAATCTTATAGAGATTAAAATTCTTAGAGGTACCTCAGAAGTAACTCCAAAGTGTATGCAGAGAAAGAACCAAAATAAGAAACTCAAATTCGTGAATGTTTTAGTTAGTAATCACCCAGAATGAAGGAATCAGTAAAGATTAGGTTGCAAAACAAAACACAAAGGAAAATGTAATTTTTTTCAACAAGTATTCGAAGGATTTGTGTTGGAAAAAATAACTATATTTGGACTTTGTTATAGGGAAGAACCAGGACTTTTGAGTAGAAATGAGAGGGGTGTCATTTTTAGCTTCTAATAGCTGCAGGTTTCCAGTACTGGAGTAGTCTACCTTTTGAAGATAGTGTGTTTCTTATCATAACAGATTATCAAGCAGAGGCTGAATGGCCAGCTAGCAAGGATATTAGATTCAGTAAGGCTGATGTCAAACAGTAAATGTCAAAGTGAAAGCAACTCAGAAGCTGCCCCCAGTATAGGCTTTGCAAAATGCTGTGAGATTGTTGGCAAGGGAACCTAACAAAATTATAGTAATGTGTACATTCAGCTGCCTGGAAAACTTTTAGACAATTTATTAGTTTGGTTATTTAATACTGTGTATCTGTCATTGTTTTCAGGTATTATTTTCCAACCTATGAAAACGACACTCTCCTGTGTACACTGTCTGACAGCGAAAGTGACCTGACATCTCAGGAACAAAATGAAAATGTTCCCATCATCAGTGAAGATACATCTAAACTTCATGCTTTGAAACAAAGCAGTATTTTGAACCAGTTGCTACTACAAGAGTGCTTTAAAAAGTAGAAACTACTACAGAAGCAATGTAGTTTTCATGTTTTTCTCTTAGGAGATAGACATGAAAGAATAGTTTAAATCTGAAGGTCAACAAAGGATTAGTCCTTGGTGAAATAAAACTTTTCAAAAATGAATGTTCTTTTCAGAAACTAAAACTGAAAATAAAATGAAGACTCTTTGTATTCTGGCTATAAAGTTTCATTGTATGAGCATCTCAAATGGTCTCATTTCACTAAACCTGTAATTATCTGTAGGGAAGACATGCCAATCACAAAGAAATGAAATATTCAAGTTATTCATTAACCTGATTTTCAACTAGTAATTTCAGTCTCCTCCACAGGCTGATTTCATCCAGTAAGCTAGAAAATTTGACAGTGTGCTTTCTATATTCTATAGGGTGAACTGGAAAGTCATCACCAAAAAGAGGAGCCACAGAAGAAAGGAAAATGGTCAAAGACCTGAGTAATGTGAAAATTGGACATTATTTTAGAATAATCAAGAGCAGTCTACGTTATTATTATTGCTTTCTACCTAGAGTTTCCAAACTCTCTAGAAATCGACGTCAAGCAGGATGTATATCCCTAGCAGATAGTACAATTTTTTACATAAGCACAATACCGTTATGACATGTAACAAAATTAACAGTAACTTCTTAGTATCATCTGTTTTCCATTTTCCCCACTTCCCTCAAAATGTCCTTTCATATTATCACTTCCACAACTGGTATTGCGTATCTCCTGGTAAGATACACTACAAAGGGCAAAACGAAAGCCCATACCCTGAATATAAGGAAGAAACAGACTCACGTTGAAAAGTGTCAGGCTCACAAAATCAAAGACTGAAAAACTATCAAATAAACAGGGCTAAAGATAGTGCAGCGTGATCCTGGATTGGAGGCCTGACCAAGAGAAAAATGTTTTCCTTTTGCTATAAAAGACATTAGCGGGACAATTGGCAATATTTAAATAAGGTCCATAGTGAATGTTATGATATTATTGTTTAATTTTCAGATTTTGATCATTGTGCTGTGATTATATAGGAGAATGTCTTTGTTTTTAGGAAAAACACCTTTACGTATTTAGGAGTAAAGGATCATTTTGTTTGCATTGTACACCCAAAAAGCTAACGTGGGTACATATAGAGTAATAAAATAAACATGGTAAGATGTTAACATTGGGGGAATCTAGGGAAAGGGTATTCGGGAATTCTTTGTACTGTAGCCACTTTTCTGTGACTACAGAAATATTAAGATTTTTATAAATGTCTTTTTACAGTTGGTTTGTTTAATCTAGTTCCAAATAAGATCATACATTGAATTTGGTTGGTGTAGTTCTTGAGTCCTATAATCTGCAACAACTCACATTTCCTTTGCTTAAAATACCACTTACTGGACACATGCACCCTCTGCTTTATTTTTCATCCCTTCTTGCCTCCCATGGCCTGGGACGTAGACCCGTGCATGTGGGACAGTGAGGTTAAAGCCAAGCGTGGTCGAGCATCCACGTCAGACGGTTCTGAACCCCTGACACGAAGGAGGACTATCCAGCCCTGGAGTGTAGAATTAGACATTTTTGTGAAAGAAAGAAACTGCCTTCTCACTGTAACTTGGGCTTTTCTGTCATTCTTAACCAAACCTCATCCCAATGAACACACCTTGGGATTCAAGCTGCCGAAACAACAACAACAGCTTTAGTCAGAAATCCACTAAGGATGTTTTCCAGCTGAAACAAATTAGGGAATAAAGGGGAAACTACTCTTAGAAGACAGGCTTCACAAGCCCGGGCAATTCCATAGCAGACGGCAACGGCAGGGCCCACGGTGGCAAGGAACTAAGAAGCAAGAACTCAGGAGAAGGTGGAAGGTCATTATGTGCAGCCCAGACTCCGTGGATCAGCGGATGTCAAAGACAGAAAGCTCGAAGGGGAAAATGAAAGGTAAAAGGCTTTTAAGATGCTAAATGGGAAAAACAGGCTTCTCAATATCCTTCAGAACAAACCTCGTGACTGGCTTGCCATCATTGCCTATACCTAGACTTCACAAGAATGTCTCATATGTCACCCTGAGAGAAATACCTGTGCATCCTTCCTGCAGAAATGCTAAAACATGTTAACTTCTTGAGGGAGAATCCCCCCCATCACATGAAAGTTTACAGGATCAAGGATTTGGGGAGTCTAAGGACGTCACTGTGCCTCTGGTATGGGAAGGGCAGGGTTCTGGGAGCATTATGTTGCCTTGTTAACTACTAAGATCTTGAAATTTGTTTTCTTTGGTTTAGTTTTGTTGGTATTAAGTGCTTTCATGATACACTTTTAAAAGTGAGGTATACCAGAAACTTGATGTTTAATTTCAAGTTCCAAGATTCTGA